AGGAACTTGGGAGATGGCTTTCTCCCAGACAGGGGTCCTTGCAGGGGTCTTTGTTCCTGTGCTGGGACCTCCCCTGTCGCAGAGCTGACTGGCGGCCATATCTCAGTTTCTATAGTGTGGTCCACAGTATTCATTCTGCCCTGGTGATTCCCTGAGACTCGGCCCCATCCAATTTGCAGCCCCACCCAGACTGTTTGCAATAGCTTTTCCATATGAATGGCATGTCCTGGCTTAGACTTCAGACTTTCCTAAAATATCCTAAAACAAGCAGCAGCTGGCATCACCATGCCCCAAAACAACCAGGAAAAGACTAGTGCCCAAGACTAGGCACTAGCACCAGCCTGCCTTGCTTCACAGCTGGGCCTCACCTGGGCACTTCCAAACTCAATACAAGTAGCAGCTATCTGCATATCTCTCTGTAACTCTTACCTGGTAGTCCCAGGCAGTGACTGACTTTGCATCTCCTGGGACACCCCAGAGCCAGTGCACTGGGTGGACAGCTTTAGACCATACCAGATTACAACTCTACACATCCACATGCGACACACTCAAGGGACAGATTCAGTGAGCACCAAAGCCCCACTGAAGTTGGTCCTGCTCCATAAGGGTATCTATGCAAAGCAGCTCTTCCACCTTAGTCACAGCTGGTCCCCACAGCCAATTGGCCTACAGGACAATTCCTCCCAGTGATGCCAACAGCAATCAAGACTCAAGTACAACAAGACTGTGCACACAGCCCACACAGGGGCATACCTAGAGTGCCAGCTCAGATGACTGGGCAGGTTGAGTCAGGGGGCCCTATAGGACACCTACTACACAAGGCCACTGGAACAAATCCAGGAAACATAGCAGCTCTACCTAATACATAGAAACAAACATAGGGAAGCAGCCAAAATAAAGAGACAAAGAAACATGTCACAAATGAAAGAAATGGAAGCAAGCAAACTACTGGATACAGAGTTCAAAACAATGGTTATAAGGTTATTCAAGGATCTTAATGAGAGCTTCAAGGGACTCAGTGAGACTTCCAAGGATCTTACTGAGAATTTCAAAGACATGAAAAAGGACCAGTCAGAAATTAAGCATACACTAACTGAAATAAAGAATAATTTACAGGGATTCAACAGTAGAGGATATCGAGAATCAAATAAACGATTTGGAATATGAGGAAGTGAAAACACCCAATCAGAAGAGCAAAAGAGAAAAAAGAAAAGAAAATGAAGATAGTGTAAGGAGCCTCTGGGACAACTTCAAGCATACCAATATTCACATTATAGGGGTGCCAGAAGGAGAAGACAGAGAGCAAGATATTGAAAACATATTTGAAGAAATAATGACAGAAAACTTCCCCTACCTGGTGAAAGAAATAGACCTACAAGCCCAGGAAGTGCAGAGAACCCCAAACAAGAGGAATCCAAAGAGGCCCACACCAAGACACATCATAATTAAAATGCCAAAGGCTAAAGACAGAGAGAATCTTAAAAGCAGCAAGAAAAAAACAGTTAGTTAGTTACAAGGGCAAGCTCATACAACTGTCAGCTGATTTTTCAACAGAAACTTTGTAGGCCAGAAAGGAGTGGTAAGAAATATTCAAAGTGATGAATAGCAAGGACCTACAACCAAGATTATTCTACCCAGCAAAGTTATCATATAGAATTAAAGGTCAGATAAAGAGCTTCACAGACAAGAAAAAGCTAAATGTATTCATCACCACCAAACCAGTATTACATGAAATGTTGAAGGGTATTCTTTAAGAAGGGAAAAAGGAAGAGGAAGAGGATGAAAAAGAAGAAAAAATATGAACAATAAAATGGCAAGAAATACATATCTATCAATAATAGAATCTAAAAATCAAAATAAAGGAACAAGAAATCTAATGAACAAAATAAAATAGTGAATAAAATATAATCAGAGGCATGGAAACATGGAACACACTGACGAATCTCAGAGGGAAGTGGGGAGGGGAGGCAGGAAGGGACTAACCAAAGATTGTATATGTATAATGCATTACCTATGGACACAGACAATAGGGTGGTGAAGACCTGGGGTGGGGCAGGAACCAGATGGAGGAGGCCAATGGGGGGAGGAGGGGAAGAGAGACATCTGTAATACTCTCAACAATAAAGATTTTTTAAAAAAGAAATAAGTTCAGAAATAATGCTAAGATAGACTCCAAATCTGCGATGCTCCTTGTCTTGTTCCATTCACAGGTGCTCACAAGTAATAAAGAAGTGACTCACTGAACAAGATAATGAAGAATAAAAAAAAACAAGTGTCATACAAAAGAAGTGACATTAACAAGACATTATCATTTAGGCTTTACCTGGGCACACTGAAAGATATCCACGTTCTAACTAGAGTCTAAACAGGAGTATGAACCAAAATCCTATTTACATTTAAAAATCTAAATCTATTAAAGACTCCAAAAGAAAAAAAAATTCTATCAACTTTAACAATGTCTCCTAGTCATCTAGAAGAAAATATATCACTATACACTCTTTAATCCTAAGATTTCTGATCCTGAAGTTTCAAGTCTATATCCAACTGTCTATCTGACATTGCTACTTAGATGTCTACTAAGCATCTTCAACTGAACATCTACAAAATGGAATTCTTGATTTCCACCTCTCGCTCAACCTTTTTCCTCCCTTGGTCTTTCTCACCTTCGTCAATGGCTTTGGCATCCATCCAACTGCTATGGTCCCAAAGCTGGTTGTTCTCCTTGAGTCCTTTTCCCCTCACTGCTTCTAGTCCCTGCGCCCAATCTGATCTACTAACAAGTTCTATCGGCTCTACCTTCACAATGTGTCTCAAGTCCAACATTCTCATACTCCCACCTCCGTCATGCTGGTGCTCATAATGGTTTCAACTGGTCACTCTGCTCCCATTCATACCTCTCCCTGAAATTCCTTTTCCATTTACAGCCAAAGTGATCGTTTAAAAATATGAATGGATGTCTGACTTATTTAGCTTAGCATGATATTCTCAAGATCCATCCATGTTGTTGCAAATGGCAGTATTTCATTTTTTCTTATGGCTGAGTAGTATTCCATTGTATATATGTACCATATTTTTACCCAATCATAAACATGCTAAGTGAAACAACTCAGACAGAAAAAGTCAAAAAATATATGTGGGGTATAAAATTGAGAGTAAGAAATGAACAAACAAGAAAAACAAACAGAAACTCATAGGCACAGGCAATAGTATAGTGATTACCAGAGGGAAGGGGTTGGTGGGGTAGTGAAGGATAAAAGGGGTCAAATACATGGTGACAGAAAAAGACTAGACTTTGGGTGGCAAATGCATAATCCAACATACAGGTGATGTATCACAGAAATGTACTCTTGAGTCCTATATAATTTTATTAACCAATGTCACCCAATAAATTTAATTTTTATAAAAAATTGAAAAAAAGTGAATGAATGATGAATGAATGAATATGTCTCCCCTGCTTAAAAACCTCACATGGCTTCTTAATGCACCTGAAATAAAATGTGAACTGTTCACTTGGTCTGTAAGACCCTAGAATGTGTCAGGCTCCATGACCCCACATAACCAGGCTCCAGCCCACTCCTTTACCTACCCTTTCACGCCACCCCCTCCTCCCCTTTTTCCCTGGGTGACAACCAGCTAAACGCCTCTCTCTTCCAAGCCTGATTTTGTCTCAGGACCTTGTGGTGTTTATCCCTCAGAGAGTCTGAAGCCCTTTCCCCTAGGTCTTTGTACAGATGGCTCCTTGTTACCTTGCCACATTTCCTCTGCCCACTCTATCCAAAAAACAAACACACACACAACTCCGGCTTTCTCATCCACCTCGGCCATTCCCGGCACTGCCCAGGATGACAGCACTGGCCACAGGGAGGCACTGGAGCACTGGGAACGTGACTAGGCCAACATTCAATGTGACGTGAGTGTAAAATCTGCAGATTTCAAAGGCTTGGGACAAAAAAATACAAAATGTCTCATTTATAATGTTTATGTTAATTACATGTTGAAATGATATTTTGGTTATACTGGGTTAAATAAAATATGTGTTATAATTTACACAATTATAAATTATATTCTTTTTTCAAATGTGACTTGTAGAAAATTTAAATTATCTATTTGGGTCACGTGTAGCTCATTTTATATTTCTATTGGATAGCACTGCTCGATTCCATTTTGCCATTTCCTTGTTTTGGTTGCTCTTATCTGAAATCATCTTTTTTGTTTACTCATTGGCTATTTTCCCCGTTAGAATGTAATTCCAGGAGAGTAGGGACCTTCGGTGTTTTTCCATTGCTATATCCCAACTTTTAGAACATTACCTAGCACAAAGAAGGCACTCAATGGATATTTATTAAATGAATGAATCAACAAGTAAAGGCTCCCTAGTCTTTTCATCCTGGCATTTCCATATGTGTAATAACAGCAGTTATCAAAGTACTCAGAATATTCTACACTGCAGGAGAAGAAACAAGAGGCCAGTATTTTCATGAATTATTTTAACTTACTCTCTCCTATTGGGTTTTAAGATCTTGAAGGAAGGGACCATTGTTCCTGAATCTCTATACTACCTTCTTGATCAGCAGAGCACTTTAGTAAAAACAGCAGTGTCAATAAAATCACCATAATCACAAAGCTATCACATTTTGCATCCTTACTATGTAGCAGGCATTGTATTAATTATGTCATTTATAAAATCTACAAGTTAGGAATTCTTGTTTCCATTTTTAGGATGAGGAAACTGAGGGTTAGTAAATGTAACTAACGGCCTTAAGATCAACTAGCCACCTGGTATGGACATTCAAATCCAGGCCATTCTGATAGCACAAGCCTTGCAAGCTCTGAATCACCGTGTTCACAATACAACATGCGCTCAAAAAACTGCAGAGTGGCTGAATAACACTACAAATGATAATAAAAAATTATGGTGATATTTTCCAGAAAAAAAAGCAAGTGATTTATGACCCACGGTGGGTTTCAATCTTGGCGTCTTGCGGGTGGCCGAGTCATACCTGACTTCCAGATGCAGCACCAGCAGGCAGCGGTCGGCCATGTCCTGGAAAGATCTGGCAAGCTCGCTCAGGGTCTGCATGATCTGCTCCGACACCGGGGGCAGGTCCATGTTCGTGTGACCATCTTGAGCAGGAGAAAGCACTGGAGAAAGGGGGGAGGACAAACACCAATCATTTCACTACATGCCTACTGGGTTTTGAAATGACATGTTATTTTGTTGTTCATCATGTTGTTTTTACCAATTTGGCTAATGCTAGTGTTGGCAGCATTAGACGTCCAAGACAGGATAGACTATTTCTGTCCTTGATTAAACACAGAAGCCCAGATGATTGAATCTATTTGGAGAATGACAAAAAACAGACCTTCAGAGTTGGGAGTGACCTCAGCAGTCATCTGGCCCAACCATGTGGTCTATGCTTGTGTCGTTTACACATCTGCAGGTGGCTGTTCAGTTTCGGGTCCCACACCCACACAAATGTTTGTGAAAGGGCACTCAACACCTTCTGAGGCAGCCGAGCCAATCTCTGAAGGATCTGACCATCCTACATTAAGTCATATCTGTCTGCCCTGATCTTGCCAACTTTACAGTCATTCTTGTATGTGTCAGCACTTCAAGTATTAAAGACATCGCCTTTGGCTTCCTTGAAGTCTTCCCTTTTCCAGGCTAAATGTCTGTCCCCCGTTTTTTAATGATTCTTTAAATAAGTGAATTGAATAATTTTACAGTTCTCATACTTTAATAAAAACATCCTGGTTATTCTGTATCTCCCTTGAAACGTGGAATGCAGGACCACACACAATAAATACTGCAGAGGGGAAAAAAATACAGAGGGGTCTGGCCTGTCTAGAGAGAGCTATCCACTCCTTCGCTCTAGATGCCATGCTGCTTGCACGTAAGGCTAAGGTGTTCAGGGGGCGGGCCGTGGTTTTATGTTCTACTTGAACTCATATAGAGCTCAGAGTCAACTAAAAGTCCTACAAAGGTCTTTTTGGAAAATTTTATAAAGCTAACTTCTATATCTTTCCCAAGTAATTGACACAATATTCAATAGAACTTGGACATTGCCTTCAGGAAAAGACTGAGCAGCAGAAATGTGAACTACATTTGTTTATGTCTAGGTTTCTGTTATGTACCCAGTTTCCCACAATCTCTCAAAGGCTGCCAACAGTAACTTCACAATTTCATTCAAGAGATCTTTTAGTTCTCTAGAGCCTCAAAGACTGGCCCTGAGTCCTGTCCCCACTACTTACTATGTGACCAAGAGGTAATTACTTAAATTCTGTTGGCCTGTTTCTTTTTCTATAAAATGGAGATAATAGTACCTAGAGCATGAGGTTGTTGGGAGTATTGAATAGATTAATGTAGATAAAACTCTTCGACCAAGAGCACATAAAACTCACTCAATATTAACATAAATAATAAACACAAATAATAAGTATTCATTAGCATTTGATTTGTCCAGGTTAAGAAGCTTAATTATAGCAACAAGTTACTTAAAAGCTAATTCTATCCATCTTGAAGTCCAATTTCCATTTATCAGTTATTTTTGCTTTTCCATCTGACAATTCTTCTCCTGATTGGAGGACGCAATGTCCTTTGGATGTGGCCAGGCACTACTGACTAAGCGCCAGGAGGTGTTCACCTTCAGGGTAGGGAGTCAACATCTGGCTGCAGCTGCATCTACAGTTATGGGCTGTCAGGGCTGCATGGATGCCTAGACTCTGGCCAAGCCCAGAGAAGGGACCAGAGAGATAGTCAAGACTTAGAAGGATAGTTCTTCCCTATGGAACCCGACTTTAATAAATTATCACAGCAAACATGAAAAAAAGACTTTGTCTAAAGGAACTGATGTGTAAGGAGGAAGGGAGTGTAGCGAAGTAGACTTAAAATTATTTCCAGCCGTGGCATCATCTAAGGTGAACAGAGCTCGATCTGCAGGAGGCTCCATGTGAGGCAGCGCCACTCTCCTGTACTGTGAACATGACTTTCATCGCCAGGAGAGATCACCGCCTTCAGGTCTTCATTTGGCAGGTGGGGTGAAAGCAACCACAAGCAACACTGATGGAGTATTTCAAAGCATTTTAGGGCTTTTGAGCTGACACTAACTGTGTTGTGTGACACTAACTGTGGCAGAGAGAGCTACTATGTATCCATGAAAAGAGGTAGGAATCAGATCCTGAAGAAATCGGACTCATGGTCTGAGGTTCAAAGTTCTACAGTGGTTTCCCCTCATCAGCAGGGGACACGTTCCAAGACCCCCAGCGGATGCCTCAAACCATGAATGGTACCCTAAACAGACCTTGTTTTTTCCTATACATATACACCTTTTCACTTACAGGAAGCACTGTACAGCTTCTCTTTTGTATCCAAATTACCAGCATCTTCCACTGCTCTTGTGTTTGGGGGCCATTACTAAGTAAAATTAGGGTGACTGGAACCAGGCACTGTGACACCACGACAGCGGATCTGTAAGGGCTACTTACCAAGTGACTAATGGGAGGGTAGCACATACATTCACTGAACAAAGGGATGAGTCACATCCCAGGCAGGACAGAACAGGGTGCTGAGATTTCATCATCCTACTCAGAACAGTGTACACTTTAAAACTTATGAATTGTTTGTTTCTGTAATTTTCTATTTAATACTTTTGGATTGCAGTTGCCTGCAGGTAACTGAAACCATGAAAAGCAAAACCAGAGATAAGGGTGGACGGACTACTGTACTAATATCCCGAAGTCTATCAAAGGCATTCTGGACAAATTCCACCAAGAAAGTAAAAAACAACAACAACTGCTTTATTATAGAAATAGATAATTTCATTATGTGTAGCAACCGAACATTGCCAAACTGTGCCATTAAAAAAAAATAAGCAGCCATGGCAGGTGTTGCTTAATAGTTAGAGCATCGACCTGAGCATTGGAGGGTCAAGGTTTGATCCCCAGTCAAGGGGACGTGCCTGGGTTGCAGGTTCAATCCCTAGCCCTGGTCGGGGGAGGAGGGGCATATAGGAGGACACCACTCATTGTCTCTCTCTCACATCAATGTTTCTCTTTGTCTCCCTTTCCCTCTCCCCTCCCTTCCACTCTCTCTAAAAATCAATGGAACAAATATCCTCACTCCTTTGGTGAGGATTTAAAAAACACACACCAAAAAGACAAGTACAGTAACTTAATGGCAAGATAAAACTTACAACAAGTGAGGTAAAACAGTTTAGATAGCAGCACACTGCACATTTCGCTTGACTGTAATCTATAGCAAAAAGATAACACTTTAGTAAAGCAACATGAAAAATCATGCCCAGAGTTCTACTGAAAAGCTGGCTTGTGAATTCTTGGGGCTCACTGAAGTTTATGAAGTTTTCTTAACAAGAAGGAGTACACTGAGCAAAGAAATGCTGAGAATGGCAAACAATGACAACACAAACAACCAATGAGCTCTTAAATGTCAAATGGAAATCTGCAAAAAAGCAAGGCTGACAGAATCTGCTGTTTGGGAGATTATAGTCAAGATAGGTTACTACACACACACACAAGCACACACACACACACACACACACACACACACTTGCACAAACCCTTTTAGAGGCTCCGTAGTGTATATTTATCTTTGGGATTGCTTCGTTTCGGCAGAACACATATTGTGGGCTTTAAAACTATTAGCACTCAATCATTTTATTAAGGTATGCACTTTGAGCTGTTTTTCTAACACTGGGGCTGGGCCACATCAGATCATTCACAACATGCTTGTTCCTCTTATAGCCTTTGCATAAAGCTGGGCTTTCTATGCTAAACTGATTGGTTTATGAGGAAGCTGAATCTTGGTCTCAGGGGCAAGCCCTGCTTATTAGATAAACCAACAGATACTTCCAACTTTCCTTTGTTTATTCCACTAGAGACTGGAAATCTAGAAGTCTGCCTTCCCAGCCTAGCTTAGTGGTTAGAGGTGGCTATATGTCACCGTATGGCCAATGGTCCTCTAAGCTAGAGGTTCTCAACCTGTGGGTCGCAACCCCTTTGGCGGTCGAGCGACCCTTTCACAGGGGTCACCTAAGAACATCCTGCATATCAGATATTTACATCATGATTCATAACAGTAGCAACATTACAGTTATGAAGTAGCAACGAAAATAATTTTATGCTTGGGTCACAACATGAGGAACTGTATTTAAAGGGCCAGAAGGTTGAGAACCACTGCGTCTAAGCAGATTTTTCTTTGGCAACTTGACCTAACTATGGGCTAATTCTGCGGCTCACCTTTTGACAGGGAAGCGAAACAACCCTAAAGCATGGATTGTTGCCACTAAAGTTTTCTGGGTTTTATGCTCAAAAGCATCTTTAATCCCACATGTTCATCCTTCCCTAGTGCTTGGCCAGCTCCTTTCCCTTTCTCAGCAACTTCCCCCAATTCATGTTGCTCTCCCAGACTCTTTGTCCTTCCTACTCTCCATTACTCCTCTCTTGAGGACCTCAGATTCTTATTAAGACTTCAAAAAATTCTCAACACTTGCTTTCTCCATAGTCTTGCTTCCCATTAAGTCTTTCATGTGCCATAATCTGACTTCTGCCTTTGACACTTTGTTAAATAACTATTCCGAAGATCATCACCAATGATAGCCTACTGCCAACTCCATTGGGCGTTTCCCAGTATTAATCTCATTCAACACGGAAAGGCCATTTCCTCCTTGTAATTCTGTTTTCTTTTGCCTCATATGGCACCCTGTTCTTCAGGGTGTCCTTTCACAGCTCTGACACTCTTTTCATAGTTTCCTTCTCTGGCTATCCTTCCTTTAGCCCCCCCGTAAATGCTGGTGTTCCCGAAGATTTTTTTCTACTGGTCGCTCTCACTTGTCATTCTATCTGTTCTCTCTGAGTGAGCTCATCCATTTTCATGGTTTTCGCTATTATCTAAGAATTGATGATTCCTAAATTTTATTTGATCAACTGTTTGCCAGCTATCTTTACCAGTACATCCCACAGGCATCTCAAATGCAATGAGCTCAAAACTAAACTCATTATCCATCTCTACCATCTGCCCTTTATCCTGAATTCTCTCTCGGTGGCATATCAATGTCGGAATCTCAGCTGCAAACGTAAGAGTAATCGATTCTCTTCCTTCCCTCACTCCCCTCAACAAAGACTAA